ATAAGGAGAGAGAAGCATTTCGTGTTTGAAATTATTTGTGAAGTTCGGTTACCTGAGGCAAAGGAACGTCTGCCTGTGTCCCGTGGAGTGGCGTACGTGTATCACTGCTAAAAATGGGCCTAGCCCCTTACTGAAAAGGGAGTGGGGTTTCTGCAGAGCGTTCTGCCATGGCCAGCTTTGCAAAGCAGTGGAGTGGGCTACGTTTAGGTCAAAAGCTGCACTTCTCCTTTCACACCTCTCTGCTGCAAACAACCTGCTGGAAACGGGAGGCCCACTGAGCCAGCTGGACCTTGAACCAGGCGCAGTGGCTGCAGATCACTGACATCTTCCTGCCTGGCTGGCGTGGGGTGCGACCCGAGGGTCGGCGATTGGCGGGTAGTTTCTGCAGCTTCAGGCTGTGGCCAAGTTTTGTTGTTTGTCAGGAGGTGAGGTCCTGCTTTGCACAGTGGAAAATGGTGTGTTTGTGTGTTACAGAGTTGATTGCTCTGCAGTTCAACAGAGTCCAAGTCCTTTCGATTTATTTTAAGTTTAAATTGCTTTTGTTGATCATTTTTCACCTCTTGCTTATGTCAACTAGAGTATACTTTAAGAGTACACAGTGTCAACAGTTCACTTTTGTCTTCCGTGCAGATCATCCATTTATTGCAGTAAATTTTACATTTGAAAAACAATTACAAATCTTTGAATTACAGGAGTGGTAAAGATGCCTGACAATATTCTAAATTACTCTAATTTACCCTTCCCCCCCCCCAAACTGAAGCATTTAGTATGGGTAAATTTCCTTTTGGCTTACTGTCTCAATTTCTTCAGTGAAAAAAAAAATTATGGTCTCATTGGGAATTATTAATATTATCCCTGACTACTGAATGTTAAGAATTATTTACATAATCTGCAGATGACAGGATAAAAATGAAACAGAACACATCACTTTCTTGAATTGATTGATTTTAGAGCATCAAAGTTCCTTCTGTTGTGTTCAAGGACATTACTGTGGGTTGGCATTTGTACTTTTATATAATTGCCCACAGATGTACTGTATTCTTAAAATAGTACTTTTAACGATTACTTCTATGACCTACCAACAGCAATCGTGGAAATAATACCCTAAGAAGTTAGAACACCACAAAATACCAGAAAGTAACGGTTGCCTTTCATAAATCATAGCTACTACAGACACGCACGGTCTGTGCAGGACGCAGATCTGTACCCCACCGGACCAGGTCAGGGTCTGGACTCATGGAGGTGGGGAGGAGCTTGTGCGCCTTGTGCCTTTGTGGGTATGGTTCTGGGTGGACAAACTGTGAAGTCTGGGCTACAGACTCCTTGCAGGAAGGCAAGGAGTGGATTTGGGATCCACCTGTGACAGCTTCTGTTACATCTCTGCCTTCAAACATGGTAAAATAAAAAGGGTGGAGAGGAGTGACTCGAAGGCCACTGTGCATCTTTTTGACCTGGTAAGTTGCTTAAATTCTGCAAACCTCCACTGTTGAATTAGGTTTGATTTCCTATCACACTTTGCATGAGACCCAGGACTCAGGTGACAGTACCTTTAGTACATTTTATCTCTTCTGCTTAGCGAGTCTTTTCACCTTGCAGACAATGGGAGACCTGCAGTAGAAGAAACCTTGAGTTCACGTTTTTTCCTTCAGTAGCATGGCGGAGCAGACTTGTCATAGCTCACATTTTGCCCAGCTGCTTTCTTATAAAATGGTACATATATGTACTCAGAATTACAGGTGGTGTAAAAAACTAAAAATAGTTCCTAGAGGTGGGAATGGGAACCATCCTTTTGCACCCAGGTTCAATGCAGTTGTAGGTGCTCCACGGCTGCTCTGATTGACTGCGCTGGGGGCTTTGGGCAACCTGGAGCCAGAGGCCAAAAAACTGACAAGTGACTTTTCCTCCAGTTATTTTGATTTTTGCTTTTCAGAGTAAGAACTGACCTCGAGCCTTCAGGAAGGCACTTTTATTCTACCTGAAAACCTCTACCAGTAGTGGTCTGGGACACTATTTGGGCCTTGGGTCCCATTGGTCTGCTAAGATGCTAGAAACCAAAATAATGACTGGCTCCTAGTCCTGACAGTCTCTATGCAACAAAACACCAACGGTGCTGGTGCTAAGTATTATCTCTTACCTTCCAACATGTTGAGAAGTTCTTGTGTCTCTGGCTTTCACGTGTTGAGGCCCATCCACAACCACAGCCTTTATAAGGTAAAGTTCAGCCACCTTCTCACTGAAGCCCTCATGGGCATCTGTTTTACCTTTTTGGAAGATAAAAAGTGGAGTGTACACCTGCTAGAAAGAGAAAGCTGCAACATAACCATGTCCAAATATACTGTTTTTAAAATACATCAGTTTTTAGGAGGATTTTTTGAAGTCTTGACTGATGTGTGGTCAATGCACTGCAGTTCTCCTAGCCATTCCCAGACATGAGGTACTTCTGTCAAGCTGCACAACAACCAAACCCAGTAAAAGTTCCCCTTCTGTTACACCAGTGAAGATCTGAACCCATGTGTGGCTGGTTGCTTGTTAGGAAATGCCTTGCTTGACACCAAACCTCCATGTGCCAAGTCAGCTGTACTTGGCATGTGTCCTGTATTTGACCAGTAAGTATGCCAAGGATTTTGAAGCACAAATGTAAAGGTATTAAATACATAAGCAATAGATACATTAAATATATATATACTTTTATGTATATATGTTTACATATTATGAATATCACTTGAAATATAAACTTATTTGATGAAGAACCCACGGGGTTGTTATCCTCTTCTAAAAACACATTTGGCATCAATTCACATCCTCCTGTATTGTTGACTGTGACAACCAGAAATGCTCCCATGGCATTATACGCCTCTGCTTCCGTGCCCCGCTGGGCCAGTATCTCTCACAGACAGGTCCGGAGCAGCTCGTGCCAGTACTGGCGTCCACAGCAAAATCTGTTAAGCCAGAATTTGTCGTTAGCTGATTCTCCCTTCGCTGGACCAGCCGTTTGCTGAATTCCTCGGCAGTGCCGAGACTCTGCCAGTTGTCTGCACTCGGTGTCACTTGGTGGGGGCGGAGGCTCCACGGAAGGCATGTCTCAGCAGCCTCCAGGAGCCGTGCGCCGTCGTGGCTCCAACTGACCCCATTTCTCCCAGAACAAGGCCTGCTCCTCATCAGGTCTCGCTGGACAGTCAGGAGCAGCCGTGCACGGCCAGTGTACGCCACCAGTAACCTTTGCGCTTTCTGGACGTGGGGAGATGAGGTTTTTCATCTCTCAAAAACACAGAAGGTTGAATTTTGCAGGCTCCGTTGCCTTGGGAGTGTTTTTTGTGGCAGGGCTGGAATTGCCCACCGCGGGCAGAACAAAGGGCTGCTTTGGTGGTACAACCCAAGAAGCACTGGGCATTCAAGGGTCCCTAGGGCAGCTTGAAGCGTGTACTTGTGTGCTCCTCTGAGCTCCTGTGTGGCACCCTGCCTTCTGCAGCATCGTTGCCCTCCCAAGATCTCCCGTTTCTGCCCCAGCCTGCAATGGCTTGCGGTTCGGGTGCCCTGTGCTCACCCCGGTGCCGCTCCCCGCAGCCGCCCAGCGTGAGACGCCTCTGTGCCAGCTGCCACTCAGCAACGGGAACACATCTGAAACGGAGAGAGGGTCCTCGGGGCGGGCAGACACAGGGATGAAGGACAGTCTGCAACAACAAGCACGAGGGTGTTTTCGTGGACAACGGGAGAACAGGAAATTCAGCAGTACAAACTGGCTCACCTCCTCTGGTCTCTGTTCTCACCCCTCAGTGTCCTCTTTGCACAGCCTTTCTCTCTGAGTGCATGAACCAGATGCTGTAGTTTTAATGAACTCTCAGGGCTGGACCTGCACTGAAGATGTTCACGTTGGATTTCTAACCCCAGTGGGCTTCGAGGCTGTTTGTGCTCAAGGGCCTTGCTCTGTGGGTACCTGAAAACCGAGGGCTAGTCTTGTTGCACTGAAGGTCCAGAAGCAGATTTTCAACACACAGGTTTCAAGGTGTTTGGCTCAGACAAGCCTAAATCTGCCTATATGCAGATGTGTCTGCCTTAGTTACTTTGACATGGTCTAACCAGTTGGCGTGGTCACCAGGACCCTTCTTACCTGTAAGAAGTAACTTAGGGTGCTCTCATACAGTTTTACTTTGGCTGTTTGGTTTGGGTAAGATCCTCACGCCGAGGCAGGAGTTCAGGTGCTGCGTTTCCTTTGGGTGAAATGACAGCATCAGCCACTTGTTCAAAGTTTAGCAGCTTCCAGCCTGTTTTGCTGCAGACACAACCTGGAAGAG